TTCTTTTTATTTATTCGTCATTTTCATTTTTCTTCTAATATTTAACAATTTTATCTTTCCAAACTTACTACCAAAAGTAAAACAAACATTTAAGTTTTATGATTTTATATTACATTTTTGGCAATAAATAAGCATCTTTTAATGGCCATATTCTTGAAGTGACATTTTGGTCATATGGCAAATTTGTACTCTCTGTTTAATAACAGATCCGCAATTTTATCTTTTGCTTCTTAAATCCCTTTTAAAATTACCAGATATATATTTTTTATTTCATTATTTTTGTATTACAATCTTATGGGAAATTTTTCTTTCTTTTTATAAAAGGGGAAAAGCCTCCATGAGGTATTTATTTAAAAAAAGAAGAAGAAAAGACTTAATTTAATTTGCTTAATTTGCTTAATTTGCACATTTAAAATGTCTTAAATCCATCCTTATAGAAAAATGTGGCTTAGACCTTAGTCAGATTACACTATCTTTTGGCAAGATTTTTTTTTTTTTTATGTTTGAGGTTTTATTGAACACAACACACTTCTATCCCTCACAGCCTCGTTTTCATTCCTGTCAAAAATTAGATATGGTGCTACTCTTACTAAGTTCACCTGTACATTCACTGAATTAAACTAGAAACATCCTCAATTTTAACAGAAACAACTTACACTGGCATATCTTAAAATATGTCAGTGCCATTTTTTTGTCTCAAGATGCACACCAGTAAAGTTTTTTTTTTCTTTTTTCTAAGGCATCCTTATAAAAGCTACTTAAATGCCCCAATTGAATTAAGGCCTAATCTAGTCAATCCAGGCCTACGTGTATTAGTGTTTTGTGCTGATGCTGATGTGGATCTCTGTCTGCTATGGTGGTTTTGTTTCTAATTGTTCCTTAGGTGGAGACAATAGGAGATGCCTACATGGTAGTTTCAGGATTGCCAGTACGTAACGGGAAACTACACGGTCGTGAGATCGCACGCATGTCGCTTGCTCTGCTGGAGGCTGTTAAAACATTTAAGATTCGCCACCGACCTGATGAGCAGCTCAAATTACGAATCGGCCTTCACAGTGGTAAGAATGAGCGCATCAGTCTTAGTTAGGTTGGGGTAGTCTTTAACATGCTGTTGGACTATTAAAATTAGCAGAAAACTGACAGCAGGGATCTAATAGGTTTTGTTAACATAATCGCTATCTATTACAGACACATTTCTCAAACTCGCCCATAGACTAGAGAATTTTTACTTTAACATGCACAGTTTTGAACAGCATTTCCATGTGTATGTGTGTTTCAGGCCCTGTCTGTGCAGGAGTAGTTGGGCTGAAGATGCCTCGGTACTGTCTCTTTGGAGACACAGTAAACACATCCTCTCGCATGGAGTCAAATGGAGAACGTAAGGACTTACTTTTCCCAATTCTCACCAAATAGCAACTTGTGAATATAACCATAGCTAGAGTTCAGGTCATTTAGGTTAGGGTTAGTGGTTTGAGCCATGCATTACACTAGATAACTACAAACTACATTATACTGCGGGTATGAGACAAGAACTAAAGAAATACTCAGTGTGTTTAATTCCTATAATGGATTTGAAGTATAGAATTGTAAAAATATCCAATCAAAAGTTTAGCACACTGAGATTGAGATTACTACATATTCTCTTAGTTTCAGAGACGAGGCTTTAACCTAGTCCCAGACTAAAATGCATGTTTGAGCTGTTTTAACTGAAAGCAAATTGCACTGACAAATCTTTAAATATGTCGGCGCCATTGTTTTGTATTACTGCACACCAGTAATGGTTTTTTTTCTTAGGAAGGTTTTTAAAAGCTGCTTACCAGGAAATGCCCTAATTGCCCTTAAGTCCTGTCTGTGAAACCAAGCCATTAAAAATGATCATTTTTAGTATTAGCATAGGCTACCTGACGTGTTTAATTTTCAATACCAATATTCCATAATGAAATTATTAATCATTCTAAGAAGCCTAAACAAAAAAAAATGATGAAAAGATTTCATTGTAATTCAGATTTAATTATTTCCCCCACCACCTGTTTCCCCACATAAACGCTGCCAGAAAAGTGAGAAATATCAGCTGGCTTTAGATAACACTTAACAAAAGACAATCAGGAAAAAACAAATTGCAATCAGGATAGACATTAATTTTGAGTAGATATATATCACAATCCATATATATCACAATCCATACATCACACCTGCCTTGATTACAATCCTGGTTGATACGTTGTAGAGTGGGGGTTTTACTCAAGTATGTCCCTAATCAAAAAAAAAAAAATAAAAAAAATATATATATATATATATATATATATATATTAATTGATATAAATCTGATATAAATATTACATGACAATGTTAACATGAAATACTATGAAAAAAATGTTTTCTATGGAAGTTAAATAATGCCAAATGTTTGTAAAACAAAAAAGCCTGTTGAATTGCACTAACTGCCATGAAAAACCATGCTTCCATTTTAATGCATTATATTTTTAGGTCTTGAATTTTTTTGAGCTGTATATATTTAAAGCTGCCGTCGGCAAACAACAACGTATAAACCATAAAGTGGTTTTAGAACAAAAACAGAGCTTCTAACTCCACCTTGAGCGTGTTATTTGTTTTGCAAAAATCCACCGCTCCCGGATCATCAGGTCCAATCAGCGCAGGGGGGTGTGAGATCTGACTGTCAATCACAGGTCACACGCCACCCCTCACGCACGTTACAATCACATGCAGTAATGAAGAGTGATGGCAGAATAACTGTCTCTTTTAATTTCCTGCTGCTGGAAATTAAATGCGTAAATAATGTTTGCCAACACACTTTAGTCAACATGTTGATGTGAGCTGTGTGATCTCAACTAATCCATAAAGTTACACTGTAATCATTTACACGCTGTTATCCTGCAGCTTTAAAGATTCATGTGTCGTCAGCCACTCGAGATGTGCTGCAGGAGTTCAACTGCTTCCAGCTGGAGCTGAGAGGAGATGTGGAGATGAAGGGAAAAGGGAAGATGACGACCTACTGGCTTCTGGGGGAAATGAAGGACAGTGATTGAGATGGTGGGGAGTGAGAGTGTAAAGCCCCAACGGGATCAGCAGAGACACTCTGACTCTAGTCAAATGTAGCCAGGGGAACCAAGCCAAGACTGCTATAGGCGCCGGTTCTGTTGGGCAAAAGCACTCGCATGTAATCCTGTATAGCACTAGATGATGTCTGACCTTGTATATATGTATTTTAAGATGTTTCTTTTGTAAGAGCACCAGCTGCAGCTGTAAATGGAGTGAAGGTTGAGTGTGATTGAATATCGCCCCCTGGTGGATAAGTAGCAGCACTGCTGGCTTAAATTATTATTATTATTAAGACAAATCACCTATTTACTATTTTGTCATTTATTTCATTAAAGTAATATTTATAGATTCATATATTGCAAATAATTTTTCACCCAGTCTGACTTTTGCACACATATACATTCTTCCTTAAGCCATTTAGACGCATTGCTCTCTGGTTTATGATTGTTATTGATGTTTTTTGGTGTTACTGATGCAATTTCGTGAGCCAAGGAGAGCTACCGCAGCTTTAATAAAGCATAAATAAAATCAACCTATCAGATCCGTAACATCACTCAGTTTGATTTTATCATTTCCCCAGCTTTTTGCTTAGACACGCACAGGTATGTTTTATGGGAGATTGACACAGGATTTATTCTTTATCAAAGATCATCTATGAGAAGCACTTTGCCTTTGAATTATTTTACAAGCTTGAATGTTTACATACTTTCTCTGCCTTTTTATTTGTTTCATAGTCAGTAAAGTGAAATGGTTGTAATGGTTTAGACTAGAGTCTATTCAAATTATAAGGTCATGATACTAATGCACCACATTCATATAAGCTGACATTCATTTCTGACTGCAATCAAGATCTGTATCCTTTTAAAATCATTTTTTAATTTCTTATATTCTCTTGAGAGTCTACATAAGTACCTGCCTGACACTAGCCTGGCATGCCAGACCTACATCAAGATGTTAGATGATATATATATATATATATATCTGTGATGTATTTTGAGCTAAAATTTCTCTACACTGGGACATCATAGACTTATTTTACATCTTGTAAAAAGGGTCATTATACCACACCTTTAAACCCCATTTAATATCCAGAGATTTAATTAAAATGATAAGCACTAATGATATACAAACTTTGATGTCAAGAGGCGTTATGGAAGGAAAGGCTCAAGTTCCATTTCTGCCTAATGTTTTCCTCTGATTCCCACTGATGTGCTATATTCAGCATTCCGTGGTTAGTACACATGAGATTTTTTTTTAGCAATTAATATTAATTTTAGCACATTTATAAACTCATATGCAGACATAGAAGATAAAAAAACATTAGCTTTATATTTTAATGAATCATTTCTCATCAGTTTGCACTAAAATTAAATGAGACAATCAAGGGAACATTATTTATTCCTAACAGTGTACATAATGAGATGTATATTGAATACATAGATACATCAGGCTACTAATATATTTGAATATGATTATAGTGTATTGGCCATTCCTGCATTTAATTGCATATTATAAATATAGAGACCAACACTCTTAAAAAATTATTAGGTTCTTTATTGACATCCATGGTTTCATGAAGAGCCTTTAGCCTCCATGTAACCTTTCAAATGCAAAAGGTTCTTACGATTATTAAAATATTATTAAAATGTTCTTAATACTGAGAAGAAGAAAAAAGAGGAAAAATGGTATTTTAAGAATTGTTCACTGAAAGGTTATTCTATGGCACAAAAATAGTTGTTATCTGATGGCCAAAATGTTTTTTTTTTTACAACCACAAAGTTTATTTTACAGTTTTAACAGATGTTTTATTGTAAAATGCTATTGTAGATTTAAAGTCACACCAGATGTTGAATTGTCCAATCTATGACCTTTGAGGTTCTGCTGAGATACACAGATGTGATTGTTATTTAGCCAATGTCCAGTTTCTGCAGGAAATTACTTCACTGAGACCAGGGGAACTTGGGTAAACATTTTATCCATCCTTTACGTAAAAATCCATAGCTGAGATGATGAGCAGGTCTCAGTTCTGAACAGTCACATGAATCATGCAGCAGCTGAGCTGCATCACCAGCAGTTCTCACGTTTCTAACCTGTGAGAAAGAATAATACGAGTGAGATTGATTCTTTGATTTCACAGGACCATGTTCATGTTCTGCATTGTTGAGACAATCTTCAAATGCATTTTCTTCGAAAAACAACGATTCCCTTCTGCGTACGCTCGGACTTTCAGCAAGTGTCAGAAAGCCATACGGAGTGGTGATTTTGCAGAGGTGAGGTAAGGACATTGCTGCGCTGGTGGTCGGGTCTGACAGAACGTAAGTCTGGAGATCATCCACGAACACCAGGTCGCGCTCCTCTGAGAACGGGCAGCAGCGCGCGAGTGCTCGGACAAATGATGATGGGTGCGCAGACCGGGGGAAAGTGTGCCGCCGTCCGTGCCCGACTCCAACCTTCTCCCTGCCGCATCCCTGCAGCCTACCTGTGCACAGTGAGGGGATGGTGAACTCCGGTACACTCGCAGGTGTCACCACCATATTCCTAAGAGGCACCTGCCTCGCTGCGGCCGGTTGAATCTCCCGAGAACTTGATTGCCACGATTTCTCTCGCTTAGGAGGTGCAAAATCACGAGCTGGACGATTTCTGCCCATTGGTCACATATGGCATAACTTTCAGCAGGGTAATTGTTTGTAAATAATATTTTCCGCCGAGCCAAATATTTTTTTCCTCTCTGAGCTTTCTGGTTGTTGGTGGTAGGCTAGCCTATTTTCTCTGCAACTTTCCTAAATTTTTTTAGCTGCTTATGGAAGTCTAGATGAAGTCTTGCTCTGCAGAACAAAAATGAAAAACTTAAGTGGCAACTGATTCTGAAGGTAAATATAGCCTACAGTCCCAACTATAATTGACTCCTCCCAGTATGATTTTTTCCCCAGCAGGGAAGACAAACACAAGGGCATGTTCTCATTTAACCTCTTAAAGGAGTAGCTCACTTAAAAAAAAAAAAAAAAAAAAAAAAAAAAAAAAAACTTTTGCTGATAATTTACTCACCCCCATGTCATCCAAGATATCAATGTCATTCATTCTTCAGTCGAAAAGAAATTAAGATCTGGATTTTTTTTTCCAAATTAAGAAAGTGAAATAGAAAAAAGTTATAGAAGTTTTAGTTTATGAAAATGTAAAATGTAAAAATGTAGCCTAATTATTCATATTTCATAAAATGTTTGTTTCAAAACCTGATGGACTCTAAAACTGCAAGAAAATCAAAGCCAAAACTCTGAACTAGTTGTGTTTCAAATTTTAAGTTGATTTCTCAAAAATTAGCTTTCAGTAAGATTTTATTTGGGTGCAGTACCAAACTTTTTCACTAGGTCACAACCATAGACTGTAAAAAGGATATGGTCACAACACAAGCAGGCACCTCAATTTCCATATGTTTTTTGGGTGATCATCTGAACCATTATTTCCACAATTTTCATACAATTTATGAAGAAGGCATCCTATTAATTCAACCTCAATAGTCACATAAAAATCACAAGCATGTGCGTTACAGCTCGCTGCCAAACTCACAAATGGTGAAACCTATGATTTTTTTCTTTGTATTCCAAACTTTTTTAGACCTTTTTTTTTTTCTAAAAAAAAAAAAAAAAGAAATTTTGTCCTCATGGTTTTCAGCGCTAATGAGGTGTGGGAACGAGTTGTCATCGCATCTGTTTGTGAGAGGGAAGGAAATGACCGCAACACCCGCTGTTTGTTGTGAAGCGGCGGGCTAGTGTGTATAAATCTACCGATGGCTGCAAACACTTGTTCGTGGGTAAGATAGATAATTACATTATGAAATGTGATCAGAAAAAAAATATCATCCTTGCGTGGCACAAATATAAACAATTTACGGGTGCCGTGTTTTGCTTAGGGGCGCAATGCTAACTTCAGTTAGCAAAAGCTAGCAGCAGAATATACGATCCTACAGATTCACTGTTTGTGATCTCTATAATTGATTAACAATTAATTATAAATAAAACACACACACATATTTTACTCTGTACATTGTCCTGTTGTACCAGAAAACCATTTACTGAACGTAAACAAAATACTGTCTTTATAATATTTTGGTCTATGTTTCAGACTAGTGAGCTGTCTTGGTTGGCGACTCAATGATTTTTGACACACAACCACAAATAATATTGTTCTGCTATAGTTTTCCTCTGACTGATAATATTATCTGACTGATAATATATATATATATATATATATATATATATATATATATATATATATATATATTGCTTGAATAAACACTGTTAAGGATTATTTGGAAGACATCAGCTTGGAACTTTTTCTTAACCTGTGATTTCAGGCTCAGAGATCGATTGAATATGGGGTGGAAACGCAAGTTGTCATCTTCAGAACTACAACTGAATCCTGCCAAAGCACCTAAGAGGGACTCTATCTGCAGATCTCCTTTCTCTCTCAAACTGTCTCCTAGTTCCTGGAGAAGAACGGTCTCCACCCCCACTAAGACGGAGTCAATACAGACTCCAGATCAATCCAATTGCCAGGAGCAGAACTCCAGCCCAGGTAATGCAGAAATTAGCAGTATTCCTTGAGGGAAGTTAATAGCAGAACTTGATATTTGTTTTTCTCTGTGCGTGGGCAGACCATGGTGAGGATGATGCTGATAGCGTCCTTGACTCCACTCCAGTTTCTTCCCCCCTGCAGTCAGAGGTGGATGCAGAGCTGGGTCTGGTCATCACTGTGGGTGAGTCAGCTCATTTGGTCTTATTAACCACACTTGATTTTGTAATGTTACCTGTCAAGTCAAACATCAGTATTGTATTTAGGAGTTTTCCAATATCTGAATGAAGTCTCATTGCTTGCCAATCCTTAGATGAGGACAGGTGTGAAGGAGAGGACTGGCTGAAGAAACTAAATAAATTGAATGTAAAGAAGAGTGGAAAGACTCAGGTGGAAGGAGAGTTCCCTGAGAAGAATGGAGAGATGGATACATCTTCAGAAGAGCTTGAGGAGGAGGAGGATGAGAGTGAGGAAGAGTTGAGGAAGCTGGACAGAGATTTAACACTCAAATCTAAAAAGCTCAAACTCTCCTCTGTCAACGTTCGTAACATCATTCATGTGAGTCTGACTTAAACAAGATGCAGGTTCCTTAAAGATTCTGTGTTAATGAGAATTTTATCAAATGCTGTCACATTTTACTTAATAAGACTGGGACGATACACCTATCCCCTGGTTCGATACCATCACAATACTTGGGTGCAGATACGTTATGTATTGCAATTTATCTTTTAAGAATTGTGATTCTACAAGTATTGCAATTTGATATTGCAAAATATTGAGATTTTTTTCACATGACACATTTCATCCTCTGTTGGAACAAAAGTGACTAACTTCTGTCAACCTAATCTATAAGCAAGGACAGAATTAATATTGATTCTGTAATATAATAAAAAAAATCGATTTTAAAATCGTGAAAAAAAAATGTTTTTAAATTGCCATAGCTAGGTGAATCGATTCAATTACATCATTATAAGAAAACGCTACCAACAAATCGGTAGTAATTTGACTATTTGATAACATTTTTTTTTGTGTGTTTGACCTCAGGAGGTGGTAACCAATGAGCATGTTGTGGCCATGATGAAAGCGGCTATAAGGGACACACAAGATATGCCCATGTTTGTAAGTTCCTTCTATTTTTAACTCTTACAGTTAAAGTCTATTTGAACATAATATTTTCAGTTGATTACATTTATTTTCTGTTTAATGTAGGAGCCCAAAATGACCCGTTCTAAGCTCAAAGAAGTTGTTGAGAAAGGGGTGGTGAGTGTTGTTTTTCTTATTAGGAAGGTTTGAGAATTTTAGCTCTTTTATGTGTGAGCTAAAATAATTGCTGAATTTTTATATATTTTATATTTTAGGGATGTGCAACTGGAACATCTCTCCAATAAAAAGACCATGTGAGATTAAGGTATCAAATGGTTAGGATTTATCATTTGTGAGAGTTTGTATTGTTTTTTGGTTGATGTACCTTGCTATTTGGACTCTTTTCTTAGCCACCCCAGTTTGTGGACATTCCCCTGCAAGAGGAGGAGGACTCTTCTGATGAAGAGTATTGTCCTGATGAAGATGAGGAAGATGAAACGGCTGAGGAGGTGCATATACCACACTCGCATCATACTTTACATTTTTAAAAAGTATATTATTCAAGTACTATGGCACAAAATGTTGGGCTTTTGACTGAAAAGATTTATATTTCAAATAAATTAGGTTCTTGGAACAAGGAACTGTTAAATAAAATGAAACAACCATTACAATATAACAGCAGGTCTATCATTTTGCATTTACACTCCAAGAATTAATGCATAGATCAATTGACATGTAGTATCTGATCATTTTGTTCCATCTATTGCTATATATATATATATATATATATATATATATATATATGGTTATCACTGTCAATCAGATTCAATTGCGCTTTTAAATTGCAATATTTTAATTTTCTCCTAGACATTTTTGGAGAGTGATGTGGAGAGCACTGCCTCCTCACCACGTGGCGGCAGACGTTCTTCCTCTCATACGCCCTCCCATTGTGATGATGCCAGCAACAGCCCCAGATTGGTACCTTGCACAGTATTATGATCACATACACATATCTGCACATTTCAAGGTTTTAAGTCTCCTCCTCCTTTTTTGTCCTCCTCCATCTCTATCACAGAAGCCCAGGCTCTCCAGGCACCTGAGAGTTGAAGCAGTGCCTATGGGTCCCCCTGCCCCACCTCCTCAGTCCTGTGGCCCCTCACGATCCCTCAGGGCCCCTGACCCCTTCATTGAGAAACTCCATGCTGTGGATAAAGAACTTGAACTTAGTCCTCTCTGCATGGAGCCTTACCAGGTACTGCATCACATACACACAAAAAAAAAAACTCTGCCTACTATATTTGGTTCTCTCTAAATTCAGTGTGTCTGTCCGTCTGTCTGCTGAAGGCTCTGAGCAATGGCAGTGGAGGGGAGCCGAATGGCAGTCTGGTAGCCTGCCGTACTCGGTCAAAACGTCCTCTGAGGGACGTCCCTCTGGATCAGCTGGAGGCAGAGCTCTGTGCACCAGATATCACACCAGATATGTACGATAATGTCTCCACACCAGAGGACCGTGAATGGACCCAATGGTTACAGGGACTCATGACCTCTCACCTGGACAATGAAGGTCAGTGTGTAATGTAGAGCAGTGACGGTGACAGTTTTTTACCACCGCGGTGGTAATGGACCAACTACCGACATTGGCTCGGTGGTTGGGAGGTGTTGTGAAAAAAATTAAAACAATAAATATATATACATATATACACGCACATCTCAAATATATTTTGAAATCAAAATAATAGTAAAAGAGCCTGAAACATACATGCGTGTTTGTTTGATGTGTCGATAGTCGAATGTTAGGTAGTGTCGATCTGGGAAGCGATCCAGGCAGAACTGATGTCCTGCGTGTGTGGTAGGTGCACACATTTGTACTCTAACGTGGAGCCATGCACATAGACACCTATACAGCGCGCGAATACTGAACTGAGCTCTTGTTCGTGTCTGAATGGACAAATACACACAACATTATGTCTAAATGTCCAGTTTAGAGAGTATTCATAAACCATGTCGGTTATGTCTTAAACGGTTGTGAGCCATTGAACATGAGCCGATGTCTGACATTGGCAAGCAACAAAATAAAAAGAGAAAAGCATTCACTGTTTGTTAATAGCTTTAATAAGGATTAATTATATTTAATTCATACAAAAATTGTCTACTTGAAAGAATAACGAATGATGTTCGTAAGTTGTTATGAAGAATGCATATATCATTCATTGAAAAGAAGACTGTGTTTTACTTTAGGAAAAGTAGTTTTATTTAATTTTAAGATATTTTTTAAGTCACAGTAGTTAAATCTGTATCTGTATTGCATGTTGAAACTTAAAAATCATTCATATTAATAGGTTAATGTATGTTTTCTCCGGGAGTATATGGGTTTGGAAATTTTAGAGAAATTCTAAATTAACACATTACAATTTACCTCATCCTATTATATTTTAGTCGACTAAATCTACTGTAGATTTAGTTTACTATAGATTTAGAAAATCTAAAAAAACTAAAATCTAAAATCACTAAAATCTTATTGTATTTCGTCAACTAAAACTAAAAAATTCGTCAACTAAAACTAAAAAGACTGAGACTAAAACTAAATCAAAATTAGCTGTCAAAATTAACCCTGCTGTATGTAACTTCTCCATATTGTATTTTTCCTCAAAAGTTTCATTTGTCAACCATGATTATTATGATTTTTGATGTTTATTGTTCAGGGGTCTCTCAATTCCCCATATTCACAGCATGGAATAAGTAGCTAGCTAATGTTAAAATACAACATAACATTGTTCGGCAAACTTTCCTTTTTGAAATGTTTTTATTTTTCACACCTGCTTGGCTTATCTTTTACCCATTCCACATTTGAAAAATAAATGAACACAAGTTGAAGGATTTTGTTTTTCTTTGCTGGTAGGGACGTGAAATAGGTATTAATTTATGTTTAAAAGGTCTTAAAAAGACTTGAATTTAACTTGAAGAAACCTGTAGGAACCCTGTGGATTAATGGCTAATGGAACTTGAGAAGATTTTAAAATGCCTAACATTGAATTAGAAAAGTTACTTTAAATTGTAATAATATTTCACATGTAACTGTTTTTAACTGCAGTCTTGCAGAACATTAGAGACTTCAGACCAGATCTTACAGACCCGAAACTGTTAATATTATTTGGAGCTGTTTTTGACTTCTATCATTTGTTTTCTGGCCTTGGCTGAACCAGTGAACCTGCAAATGTAATCATGTCTTTTAAACAAATCACTGTCATGCCTGTTGCACTCAGACAGATGCTGTCAAAGCACTTTTCTTAAATGTCTAAATGGCTTTCTCTGTGTGTGAGACTAGTTTAATGTGTGTGTGTGCGTCAGCGATTAAGTACCTACCTCTGTTTTTTCCACTCATGTTTTTCTTCCCCTGACCTTTTCCCCAAGTCCCTTTCAGCATCACTGCTCTATGTGTGTGTTCTCACACGTGAAAAATCTGTTCTTCTGATGATTCTCTCTGTATTTTTAGAAGAGGCTGATGAAGATGATGACCCTGAATATAACTTTTTAGATGATCTAGATGAGCCAGATTTGGAGGATTATCGAAATGACCGCGCTGTTCGAATCACAAGTGGGTTTTTTTTCAAGTTTTAGATTAAATAAACCCCTCAGTTTAAAGTGTTTACTTTTACTAATTTTTTTTTTCTCTATCTCTTTGCAGAGAAGGAAGTCAATGAGCTAATGGAAGAGCTGTTTGATACGGTAAAAGGATTTAACACTAACAGGAATAAACTAAAGTCAGTCATTCCTCACTCATTTTCTCTATTCTTGTCCAGTTCCATGATGAGTTGGCAGCCAATGAACAAGAAGAGGAAGGTCGTGAAGAAGATGAGGAACGTGATGAGGAGGCCAATAACACTCCACAATTTAATGTTCCTCAAGCCATTAGGTAACACACACACACCACCTAGTCCAAGGCTCAACAATAAGCTTCCCCGGTCATGTCAGTAGATTTCTGCGGCCTTTTCACATTTCAACTGGCCCAAATAAACAATTTTATATTTATAATCTGTCTGTTTATGTCCTTTTTGCAAAATTTAAACTAAATGCATTCATTTTCTAACATAAAATAAAACTGTATTTCTAAAAGTACAAAGCCAAGGAGACATGTTAAAACATCCACAAGATGCATCCTCCCTATGGGACAGAGCAGCAGAGGAGTGCTGTATCTGTTTGGGTAGGGAGGTAGAGAAATACCTCTAATGTGTCCGATTGTTTCGCTGTTGACCCGGGACAAAAAATGGACATTGCGGAGCTACATTTACACATTCAGTATAGACTGAACACATGCGCACAAATCACATCCCCCCACTGCTGAGTGCTGTACAGGTGCAGGTCTATACGTCACTGCGAACGTGCTAAAAAGATTTCACTGTATGCCTGTGCTACGTGCAGAATCCAGGCACAGGGGCTTTAAATAGAGCTCATTTACTGGAACAGATAACCGTTACATGCACGTTCGCGCACACACAAACAAACCTCTGACACCTACTCAAAGGGCTTTCCTTAAAACATATGGCCCTTTTTCTGATATATAACAGTCATCAGCAGTCCCTTATTTAAAACCTGTCACATCAGGCTTGTCACCTCTTTGTTCTTTAAGTATACGTGTAATTAACTTTGTTACAGAAATACTACATTGTCAATCAGCACAAAACTGTCAAGAGATGGACATGTCACACAGTGTTGCAGCTTATTATTTGCCTAGTGAAGAGGGGTCATTACAGCAACTGTGTGAATGTGACTTCCGTGCGTCACTGTTCTGGGAACAGACAGAGATGTGGCTGATGTTTTTTTTTTTTTTTTTTTAACGAGGTACATTGACGTCTGTGCTGTCTCTTCCACACTGTGAATGTGTGTGTAAATGCCAAGGACTTGTGCCTGTAAAGCTCATTGACTAGGCTACAGAGATTATAAGAGACTTGGTCTGCTTAATTAGTGACCGTAACTTAACGATGATTTTACTAAACATTATGTCACTAGATCAGAGGATTTTAGGATCAGCATTTTAATGAAAATATACAAAATAATGAGTCATAATTCTATTGCCTATTGATAATGCTGTCATTATTATACCATTAATATGTATGCAACTGTCAGAACTCATTGTCATTTAGGTGTGGAATGCACATTTTTCTAGATTCCGTAAATTCCTAGTAGATCAAATCAACTCCCACACACACTTTTTCAGTTTCTCTTGGAAAAACATTACAAAATGGAATTTAAATGGGTTGCTATTTATTTATTAAACTTTGGATGACTAAGCTGATAATTGTCATTTTATGGTAGATAAACAATAGCTTATATTAAAATTCTATTCTGTTTTGTCTAAATTGCATTACATGCTAAAATTGAATGTAGGCATCACAACATGATAATGCATGGAAAATGGCTATTCATTTTGAAATTTGATTAGTTAGTATTCAATGACTACAAATGTTTGAGGATATTAGCATATATAATTCAATATCCAATATTGCCTGATATGGTAAATTAAAATAAATCTTTAATAATAAATAAGGTACTGATATGTCATGCATCCCTAGTTGAGAATACTGTTTCAGAACAATTCAAATTATGTTTTATCAAAGTGGCATATTTGCTTTGCTATAATTAGTGTTTCTAGTACACATTTTAAAACATCCCTCTCTCTCTTCAGATTCAGTATGTTTCTATTTGTCTGTCATCAGGTTTGAGGAGCCACTGGCTCACATGTTGACGGCATGCAGGCGGACCGTTAGAGAGCAGCTGGATGCTTTGCAGCAGCGACGGGAGAACCAGATTCGGACCACCCAACATGCACCTGGGCCTGGCATGGTTCTTTTGCAGCCCAGCTGTCCTCTGGTGCTCACGTCTCCTCAGAGAATACAGCTGCAGCAGCAAATACAGCAAGTAAGAGACTATTTTAAACACCACCATACACACTAAACACTTAATTTAAAGTGCTACCTGGTCAGAAGGATCTAATCTTTTACCCCAGAGCTGTTGATTTTTGTTTGTTGAATGTGATTTGCACTGGCAAAAAATCTTTTCAAAGTTCTTGTTTTATACTGATATGATTTAAATTTGATTTAAGATTGAACTTTTTCTTGCAGCATGTCCAGTTACTGACACAGGTCAATATGCTGTGCAAACCAGTGGAGGTGCTACAGAGTGAAGCTCAAACCACCAAACATTTCCTGGTAAGAAAATTGGGTATTGAACACATAGATATCCATAATAAAGGCTAGATGTCTTACAGCGTCTCTATCTTTGTTGATAGGGGGAGTTGCTGTCGTTTGCGGAGCGGGCTGAGGAGGGGAGGTCAGCAGTTCATTCAGGTTTTAGAAGCATGTTTAGGGTGTGTAACTTGCAGTCCTCCCTCAAGCTGCTGGAGGAGTTAAAACAATGTCCGTCTCCTCTGTATCTTCCTCCCAAACCCTATCGCCGTCACTCAGGTCAGGCATCTCATAATGAAATCATATGATCCAATAAATCAACTTAGGAGTACATGCATGGGTGTCTGTGTATATCTGATGGCAGTATGTTTTTTGTGTTTCTGTAGTTTGTCCCTACCCGTTGCTCCCAGCTGGTCTTGCATGGCTGTTCGCCACACGCTCTGTGTTTCTGTACCCAGAGCTTCTACCACATTGCAGTCTGGATCCAGCCCTGCATCGCACACGCAAAAAATATTACATCAAAGGCGAAGACGGGTACAAATGGCTCTGACTGTCTACTCATGGGAATGAATACTTTATAGAAATGTGTTTTTATTCAGCCATTAATAGTCTGTGAATGTAGCGGGGCATTTACATGCTTATGTCATCCTTGCCATGGAAAAATTAAGCAATTACTGAAGAACCACTTTTAAATAGTTTAGATCTATAATTTGCTGTATTGTAGTGCTATAAATCCATATTTAAGGAAATTGCATTGCTTCTATATAGTCATACAAGTACTTAATACACGTTCTCTGAATTTCGCAGGGTATCTACTCTAAAACCCGTTAACGTCTGTATCTGTTAATAAGTACATTCTTTGAGAAGTTACAGTTCACCTTTTCACTGCAAATGTCAAATTTAAAATGCAATTGGTCCGTGAAGGAAGGAGAAACGTCAAAATGGGCATTTGCAGTTTAATGTATCAAAACAAGCACCTCATTCAGTCTACACATATGACACCAACTTGCAAACACTTGAAGAAGCAGTGAGCCATACCTTCACCCAGTTAACCCTCTGCCTCTCTCTCTTCTCCTGCTCCCACCTCACTTTAGACTGTTAGTATTGGGGTTAAAGCACTTTGCTGAAACAGAGTTCCCATACCACCTGATGAGCCGCTATCTGATCCGTGCCAAGCCTCAAGAGCAGCTGCGTGCACATGTGAGGGAAATGGCGTCCGCCAAAGCCCCACACAACATAATCAAGGTGATTTGTCGTTCATCTATTGGTTCATTTGCAATCTTCATATACATTGTTATTTGTGGTGGTGGTGCACATTTGCTCCCTTACACTTTCTGAAGCCGACTATTGAAATCGTAATATTCTGTCTTATTTAATGTGGGTTACAGTTTATTAAGACAATGTTGTATGTCTTAGTTTTACTGCCAGAATGGTGTGGTTCCTCCTTTGCCGGTGATGTGCAGACCTGTTGTACCTGGAGAGGAGCGCCCTCCTGTGGAGAGAGAGCAGGACATCATGCCAATCTGGCTGAAGGTATTATAACCCCTTAGAGTCTAGACCAGTGTACTTGGGACTTCTGATGGGATAAAAACAAGCTCCACAGTTGACATCTTTAGGGTGTTTTTTTAGCATTATAATTAAATGTAAGTAACTAAGATTTATAAGGGGCCACCTGGAAGTTTACCTTAGTTGAGAACACCTACCCTAGGCTTTTTCATTAAAACCTATTGAAGAGAAAAAAAAAATCATTCTGATATCAAGTACAATTCTAATGGTTTCAAATTTGCCTTTACAGAAAAGCTTGCCATACATCCATAGGGGAGTTTTTCAGAGCAGTTCAAAGGTGACATCCACAACCACCAAATCTCTTACCCTGTCCTTCCCAAAAGGAACACGCTACCCACAATTCCTCCCTAAAGGTGTTTCTCTTCGTCTACATCCAAGTGTTAGTCAACCTTCACAGCCCAAATCTCAGCGTAAGTTCCCCCCTACTCTCACACCATTGCCGGAAGCTCCTCCGTGTCCCACAGGTGCAGGAAATGTATTATCCAATGTCTCCACACAACTTCCAGCACATGGTGTAATATTATTGGCCCAAACACCTAGCACTCCTATAAATGGGGTGTTCCCATTGGTTCAGCCCTTTTTGACTCCTGCACAGGGGACCGTCCCACTTTGCGCTTCTTATCCTATTAATTTCCAGTATGTCACTCCAGAATTGGGGGCTGGTAATCTGGCACACCTTTCTGCCAACTTGCCCCCCACTGTAGTTCAGATACCCCCCAGTGACATGCCTCTACATAGTACTGGGACAGTCAGGACGTGTGGCGTGCAGAAGATGTCCGATAAGCACAAGAAACGGACCATGCCTAGAAAACTTGCTCCTTTGAAACCAGCCCCCCAGCTTTCTCCCCTCTCCTCTTGTACAATGGGAAACGTAAGTAACCCTACTGTTATAACGGACCAGCCAATATCCTTAAATGTTACACAGAATTTTCCATTAGATAAAGCCTATGAAAATGCTCCTCACCTGACTGCCACCACACAGAGATTGGTCACATCTCCCTCCCAGGATCTTGTCATACAGTTAGTACCTGGAACACAGGCCGTGGAAAATGCCTCAAGTCCCTATTTCGGAAAGACGACACAGAGGTCAGAATGTGACTTTTTGCAAACCATGAAGGACATCACTCCTTTGCACTATAGTGTTCAAAATGGTCAAAGGACTGTTTGTTCTCCTCTGACATCAGCAGCAGCAGACAGTTCTCAGTTTGTACTGGTTCAGACCATTTCACCTACTGGAGTTCCTCAGTTCCTACTTTTGCCCCAAGACCCACTCATTCTGAACCAACCTGCTCCACTTCATGCTGAAGGTGCAGCAGGGAGTTTATCCCAGCAGACTGCCTTTTCTGACATTCCTGCTGGCTCCATAGTACTAAAGAACACAGAGAGGACTGAGGTGCCTTTAAACACCACAACACCATCCACAGAAGATGGAGAAAGAAAGGAAGAGGATGAGGAAATGACTGGAGACAGATGGGAAGAGGAAATAGCTGGTGCTCTGTTTGGTAGTCCTCTCCTGGCACTCTCAGAGTCCTCTTGCAGCCCCGACTCCAGTTTGACCAGCATTGATGCAAGCACAGACAGTGATGCTGAAGCCTCTGTGAAAGTGAAGACAGATACTGGAGAGTGTCTTGCTGTCCAGTCGGGCTCTGGCAGTCAGGAAGCATTAGGAGTGCACAAACACAGCACTGGAGATGGGAAAGAGCAACAGTCCGGTGGGGGGGAGAAACAGAACGGTGGGAATGAGGATGTTGGAAGGGCTGAGGAGAGGGAGAGTGGGGGAGATGGAGAGCGGGATGAAGATAAAGAAGGAGAGAAGAGCGGTGATGGAGAAGATGGCAGAAAAGGAGATGGGGGTGGAAGTGGTGATAAAGGAAGTGAAGAGAAGGATGGAGATGGAGAAAAAGATGGAGATGGTGAGCGGGATGAAGAAGAGGAGGATTTTGATGACCTCACGCAGGATGAAGATGAGGAGGAAGTGATGTCTTCGGCATCAGAGGAATCTGTGCTGTCTGTTCCAGAACTTCAGGTTTGTTTGTTTTTAGAAAATATATATAAAAAAAAAAAAACAGAAAAGAAATACAAGAAATTAATCTGTTTATGATATTTAGGGGGATGTTAGGGGCATGCCGACCGTTTTTAAAAATCTGAAATTTTTCATATTATGGCATAGGTTTTAGATTTCAATGTTAAAAGTTATAGCAGACTTTGAAATTTTGTATTATTGTCTAAATAAATTAAAATAATAATAAAGAACAAAAACACTACTAGAAACTAAAGTCAATCATTTTGAGAGAATTTAGGCATCACAGCATTATAATTAGCAGTATGAAAATGTTCATTTTGAAATTTACAAGATTAACGTTTAACTGTGTTATAAAATCTGATTGAGATTTAGATGATTGGAAAGATAATTGAAATGTAAATATAGATTAAATGACCAACTCAACTATTATATTATATACAGCTGATACCAATAAATAAATAAATAATCTGTAATGTTATCCGTTACGTGTATTTATTTTAAAGTGGTCATATAATGCCATTTTCATACAAGTTAATTTGAATCTTTAGGGTCAAATGAAAAGTTTGTAATATACTTTAATTAAAAATTTTCATTAGTATTTTAAGAAAACACTCATTTTACCTGGTTAAAAACAGCCATGTTTTCAGCACCCCGTGTCGGCGCATATGCCTTAATGATAATGGGCTTCGCTCACTCCGCGGCCG